GATTATAAAGGCTATATAATCGATTTCGTGGTCTGAATTTTACATCCGTAATGATTTATAATCGATTATTTTTGTCTCGGGAATCCATTATAATCGATTAGAACCCATGGACGCTCGGTGCGGGTTGTCATTTGCTCTTTGATTTCATGTTGCTTGGCCTTGCTTGACATAATTGGTAACTATTTCTTTTGTTTCAATTTAGGGGGCCGAGTGCTCTCGCAACCACCCACAGCCATAACTTCATCTTAAATCGGACTTCTCTTGCTTACAGTATCGAGAGCTTCTATACGCCTCACTAAAGATAACAAAGTCATTGTCGCACCTGTTGCACTTCGCGCAGTTTTTTCCATCAACTTTAAATTCGGGAAAAATTATCCCAAATTAGAGGTCATTGTCTTAGCATGCTTTCTCTGAAAGTAAACATAAGAATAAAAAACATCAAAATCCACTGAGAATTTTAAAGTCAATTGAGAAGCTTAAAAACAACTGAGAAATTTGAATAAAATTTGAGAAATAAAATGACGGCCATAAACAGAAATGAGTAAATCCATATTTTAACCATTCAGCAGTGGGAACAAAAGACAGAAGTGCGCGGAACATGCGAAAGTTAAAATACAAAGTCGCCACAAACATTGCGTCAAAACGGCAACATCCAAATTGCATCACAAAAGTCGAATTATTTACTATTTTTTATTCTCTGTTTTGAACTTTTTTTTTTAAAACATCCCGAGGGCAAATTGTGCACTAGATAGGCGCACAATTTTGTGTCTGCATGTTCTTGGATTCCAGAGACAAGTCTTTAAATCCGTTCCAAATTGTAAGTGAATTCCACTAACAAACTTTCAGTGGATTCAGCGTACAAAAACCGGTAACGTAAATTTTGTCGGCACTTTTGTTTTGTTGTGGATTCCGCGACAAGCAAACATAGCTAGTTGTTCTGGAATCCGCAAAATGTTAGCGGTTTCTGCAAATTGTAAGTGCAAACTCCGCAGTTTTGTTTACTACTGATCTTACATATGAACAAATAAAAGCGAGAGGTGGAATTAGTAACTATAGCAACGCGCAATTTGAAAGCAAGGACTTATCGATTTGTCAGCGGAGTCCACAAACGAATCTTAGAACTTTGGTTAACTAAATAGGTGCGGATGTCAAATCTTTATCGATCATCTGATGATCGAATGATTTTTTGGGATCGGAAAATACAATCATTGAATGCCATTTAGGGTTTGAAATGGTTTGAAATGGGTTTGAAATGGCAGTTCAGTTACTCATCAGCATTGGAGGTGAGATGGTTGAGTTGGTTAAAAAATCATCATCACTCATCAGTATTTGAGATGAGATGGTTCAGTAGATGAGATAAAAATCTCATACAAGCTATAAAAAATACAGTACTAAATACAGTGAGATTGATGGCAAGATTTGAGAACAAATTTGGGTTGACAGGAATTAATTGAGATTGAAGTGGTATAATTGACAGGAACTGAGATCGAAGTTTGATATGTTTGACAAGAAATGAAATCGAAGTTGTGTAACAGGAAATGAGAGCGAAGTTGGTGAGAGGAATTGAGATTGACAGGTGTTTCAACTGGTAGCTGATCAACATAGTAAATGAATTTGAGCTTGCTGGTGACCACCTAGTAATTAAAAGTTATATTTTAAAACGTTACTACTTGTAACCATATATGTAAACAGAATCCGCAAACAAAATTCGGATTCCAGTTACACTTTGCAGATTTCACCCACAATTTGCGGATTCAACTTAGAAATTGCAGATTTCATTTACAGTTGTGCATTCCGCAACAGCTCAATTCAACTATACAAATGTCTTATCATTTGTTTGTGGATTCCACAAATTGTTCTGGATTCCGCAATTATACTTGCGGATTCCACAAATTGGCCTATTTTGGAGCCATTTTGAGCGGTACAATCTTTTAGTTTTTTGTTGATGGATTTTAAAACAGGAGAGAAGATTAAGAAAAAGTAGCAATGTTGCAGATTCTGCGGCAAATTTGTTTTTGGCCTGTTGCGGATTCCACTTACAATGCACAGAATGCACAGTTTGGCCTCGTAATGAGCTAATCTCCCACCCTGTCCTCAATTAACTTGTGATATGAAGTGGCATGTGGTGTAACATTCGTCTACTGCAGTCACACATGAGGCTTAAGAAAAATAGGCCCTATAACCACTGGCTCAAGGGTCAGGGACACTATCTCTTGTGTTTTTCTACCTCAAGAACGGTCGGAGCCAGTTCGGTTCGCTTGTGACATGAGACTACGACCCGTTACAGCTTAAAGGCTACTACTAAAATATCCCCCCACTCTAGAATTAGAAACGTCCCCATACTTAGGTCTCTAGATACCCAAAATACATGAACGCCGTTAAAAACCGGGTTGGAACAATCCGTTAAGTTACTTTTTATTAGACAGTGTAACTTTGATCCATTTCAGATGGATCAACCTAAAACTCGCCTTACCTCAACATAACAATTATAAAACACACTCTGGGAATTTAAATTTGTACTCACATAGTAGCACGCTCAAGAAGTGGGAAATAATCCAGTCGGTAACTAACTCAAGAATTAAATAACGTAACTAAATGAGTCTAATGTTTTATAGTTTTAACAATGAGAACGAGTTTATACTCTAGACAATAGTTTTCTTGTGAACCATTAGGACACTCAAGCTGTCCACCTTTCCACCGAAGGTTCACTCTAGTCCAGTTCCGAATAATACTCCAGTCGTTATAATCCAATTCGAGGGAATGCTCTCGTCTCTGTCACAGATGGGACAGCTCTACTCTCGATTATTATAGTGATGGAAATTGCGAATAGCAATTTCCTACTGCTTTTTCTTGCGACTTTCCCGCGTTTTCGACTCAATTGTTCTGAAATTGTTCTGATCTCTTTTTCTGATTTTCAGTTCTCGCGAGAAAATCGTGCATGACAGGTTCCATTCGAAATTTTGAAAAATTAAATTTCACTCCAAAATCAAGTGTTTTTTGCTTCTCTCAAGGTCAAACTTCCAAATATGACCGACTGGCACATACTCCCCGGACTCGAGATCGATTTCCTCATCGCGCGCTGTCTTCTGCCAGTGAGTCCCAGAAAAACCGAGTGTTGCTCAAGATACAGTGCCAGTGGTCATTTACAGAAGTTTGCAGTAGATTTAAGCTTATCTACACCCCAAAATTCACAGCCATTTAAAATTTTCACACTATTGCTAAACAGCAACCAAAATCTG